ATTATCTCTAAGATGTTTACCTTCTGGAACAGGCCATGCTTCCTAACTTGTGTTATATCTACTCTTTAGTATGATGACAAAATGATGGCTCCATTATGTGGTGGAACATTAACATTTTGCATTAGGCACCTCTTAACTTCAAACAGATAATAATTATTTCATTTGACTGGATGGTCCCTTTAATGATCATATGCTTTTTTATTTCCTCTAGGAAAAAGTAGCTTCAGATTGAAAATTTCTCCAGAGGGTCAGTGTCGGTCAGCTGTGTTCTGGGCAATCAGGACCAACTCTTAAGGTGAGCTTCTTAATGAAAACGTATTTTAGAAGCAATGGACCTCAAATGTTAAACATAAAAATTTTGTCCATAATCCTTACTTCTTGAATACATTACAAGGAAGATTTATGGCATCAGTAATTGAGTTTTCCAACCAAAGAGACCCATGTAAAATTGGCCTATAGGTCACCTGATAACTATGACCATGGAGTACAGGGAGCCCTTGACTTATGACTGGTCAAAGTTCAAAGTTACAATGGATATATTTGGGGACTATTTATGATCCGGATTTGAAGTTCTGATAGTTGTACATGCCTTCCCACAGTCACATGACCAAACTTTCGATGCTTGGCAATATGGGCTCGTTCTAGGTGTGTGCATTGTCCCACAATCATATGACTATGGTTTATGATGGTTCTGTTGAAAACCAGATCTAAATTTTATTTTTTGGGAGAAGCCACACCCATGCCAAACTATAGGTTTGCTTAATGACTGCAGCATTCACTTAACAAGTGCAGTGATTGTCTTAATGACCACTGCAAAAATCATTTTAGCACCTTCATGCCTTATGTCTGTGATGGGCGGGCTCTAAGTCAAGAACTACCTATATTGATAACATAATGCAAGCTTTTGTTCTGCTCTCTTCTCAGTAGACTGGGTATTTTCACTGCTAATTACTGAATTTATTTGTAAAGTCTCACCAATGAATGCAGTAATATGGCAAGTACACTAGAAAGTTTTATCCTATAGCATAGATTGGCTACTAAAGAATGAGCTCTGGCTTTCAGACAAGGAGTCTGAATCATAAAAGTAGGGCACTTTTCTATTTTTCTCTATCTGTGTAATATATTTTACAGTGAGGAGCAATGGAAGTATTTCCTACATATTTTTATACTGTTAGGGTAGATGCATATAGTAATATAATGTCTTAGCATAACAGTATGGATTTGCTGTATGTTCAGTTTGGCCTTACTTTGTTATAAAGTTTGCTCCCAAACATTTCAAAACTGCTTTCAATAAACAAAGATAAAATTATATGAATGTAACATTCATGCAGGAACAATTCCAAAGTTGTAAGAAAATGGAAATGAACGGAAAACTTGGAGAAACATATAATTAGTGAAAGAATAATCAACTTAAGACTCAATACTGGATGCTTGCATGCCAAAGCTATGTTCTATAGGACCTGTTTCCTATCTGGACAAAAAAAGATGTTACTCCTTAAAAACTAATAAGTCTGTTCATAATGACCTTTAATATTATTGCTGTTCTTGTTTGTATTCATAATACTGATAGCAGAAAGTATTGCAAGTTATCAGAGGCATTAAAAAAATAAAGTGGTCCTCTCTCAGCCCAACTCTTCTCACATGATTGCTGTGGGGAGGGGGAATAGGAGGAGAAAGAAGTATTTATTATTTATAAAATAATAAAGGGAGTAAATAAATTTGTTAAAATGAAATAAATAAATACATTAATTAAAAGCCAAAAATTTCAGTGGGTATACTTTTTCCACACAACTATATATAAGGCTTTTAGAATATTTTAAAATGTGTGTGGGTAGTCTTGTATGTGGATGAGAATCAACCTGTTTTCCAAAAAGGATCATCTTTAGAACCTAGTAAGAGCCATGGAGAAGGCCTGCTCTGCAGAGCCCTCGCTCTTTGTTTCTCAGCCTCGGACCTCCCTTCTCTTGCTTTCCACCTTATTGCAAATTTCTATGGAGCCACTGCTGAAAATGATATAGCTTCTTAATTCTTACCATGACTGACATGGTAAAAACTAAGCTAGTTTTAAAAAAATATTTTGTCTTGCAACTTTAGTACGGTATATAGCATTTTTGTTTCTTGGTGGTCTCCTATCCAATAGTAAGCAGGTCTGATGATTAACATTTCAAAGGTCAGCCAGGGGATGTGGTCTGCTAAACTTCTTATATAATAAAACCAAACAAACCAGAAAAATATCCCCATTTCCTCCCCAAATCCAGAAAGATGGAAAATCATACCAACCACAACCCTTTTGCATCATCACAACCTCTGTAAACAGATAAAGTACTCACAGCAAAATCTTCCTCCTCTGTCAGATATCCTTGAGGAAACGGTGATTATAGGTTGTGTGCCAAAGCCAAGTTTTGACATAGAAAGCTGGTTCTGGGCCTAAGTCCAACTTCAAATTAGATGCTGCCTGTGATGCCCTTAGGTACCATTTTAAAGTCTCCTGTGCAAGTTACAGTCTTAAACCCTCTGCTGAAAGGGATGATGGCATCCCTCTCAGTGGGGTGTAGCTCTGGTGCCTGTATTTATTATCTAGGTAGTGTTGGGGAAGAACAAGTCTTTGTGTTCAGACAGTGGTTTGCCCTTCTGGAAAGAAACTGCTTGGAAGACAATTGTTGGCTACGCGCTTTAATTTCTTGCTATGCAAGTTGCAAACAAGGCAGTCCAAAAATGCCTCTCTGGATCATTTCAAGCTCTCGGGGAAACGTGGATGTGCTTATTAGAATTGTTTGTGAATGAGCCAATCGAGATGGCCTGGCCGCGCGGGTACAGGCAGTGTTTCCCTCTTTCTCTCCTCCACCCTCCGCACACCAAAGGGAGGAGGGGAGAGTGAGGCAGAAGATATAAGCTCAAACAAAGCCAAGCTGTGTCTCTGAATCGCTCACATGCCCTGGATAAGTAAAGCCTGACCCTGAAAGTGAGAGGGTGAAAGAGAAAGAGAGAAAGAGAAGTGGAATTATGATTCTAACAATGGAAACGGGTAAGATTTTACTGGGTGGGGAAAACAAGCAAATGTGCTCATTTCAATTGCTTTCTGAAGGAAGTCATTGTCTACACCCTAATTAGTGTGTGATTGGCTTAAAGAATATCTGTGTCATGTGAAATCCCTGTTGTGGATCTTCATCCCTGCAATATGCCCTTTTTAATGGAGCTAGAAGTGAGATAGCATGGGAGGTATTGGCAGGCAGGCAGGAGCAATCTCTCAGATCAAGCCGTGGCACTGATTTATTTCACAGAGAGTCATCTGTACTAAGCATCGAGAAATTCCAAAGAAGCTGTGTGTGGCATAAGGGAAATTTTAACAGCATGCTGTGAAGTCTGGTGGATGTTGCAAACCCCATGATATAGATTATTGTGTGGCTATGAAAACTTTTTTCTTAATTTAATTTCATGCTGCATACTTTTTTTTTTAATAAAGAAAGGGGACAGTTGTAATAGCAACTTGGGTTACTAGAAATATTTCAAACGACTTCTCCAAAACTGTGCAGAGAGTATGTTATGAGTAAATATTGTTCTGGTGAAATGGTCATGAAGAATTCACATTTGCTGGATGGCTGTGAACAAAGGCATAATATTGTGCTTGCTTTAGAAGGGAATATTCTGAAGATGGCACTTAGATCTAATTAAACTCCTTCTAATATACATGCTTTGATTTGCTTACATTTGCTTACATGACTGAGCACTAGCTTTTATGATTTTACTTAAAAGTAACTCCATAATGTTCAGTAGGATAACTGTGGGTAAGGTTGTAATTCTAAGCACAGTTGTTTGGAAACACATCTTACTGAGCTCTGTTTTAAGCAATTCTTAAGTATTATTCTGTTAATGTTATTTCATTGTCTTCAAGGGACCTGGAAGTTATGGTCAGAAGGGGAATAGGAATGATTTTCAATAGCCTTCTCAAAGATGAAACCAATATGGTATAATGGTTAAGATGTTAGATTGGCACCCTCAGCCGTGGAAGTTCAGTTTGCGCCTGTCACTCTTGGCCCATCCTACCTGACAAGGTTATGTGAGGAATAATGGGATGCTTAATGGGCTCCGGTACAAATGACAATATTATTAAGTTTAACAAACTAATAATTATAAATAATGAAGTTGTAGTTCCTAATATTCTTCCCAAGAAACTATTAATTGCTGGTGATTTGGGTTCCATCTTGTGCTGAGTTACCTCTATAAATTGTATTAATAAATACAAGAAGACAGTATTAATATGATTCTTGTTATTTCTATGAAGTTTGAATAAATAAAATTCCCTGACTTGAACTGATTTATCCTGTAGAATCATAGAATCACTGTATGTTTGTAGAAATATGAGCATTTCTTAAACCGTTTACTGCAGAGGATAACAAGTCTCTCTTAAGATCTACTGTATTTTAATTTGGCCTGGGTATCTCTGAGTTAATCACAGAAGTTTTCTTTCCTATTCTGCTCTCTGGTAATTTTTTTCCTTAGCAATAATGATTTTAATGACTAAGCTGTTTCTTAAACTGCGGGGTGCCCTTTGCAACACAGAAACTCTTTGGGCCCTGCATTCTAGAGGAAAGGGAAAGAATTAGCCATTTTCTATTAATTTGGTTAAGAAGTGACTTAGTAGACATCACTCTGATCTAAGAGTATTAAATGCTTACTAAAATGATGCAGACCAGATATGCATCTTTTTATTTCCAAGAAGCATTTTCCTCTTGTTAATCTTTTTCCTCATTGTACCTATTTCTGTTTTTTAGAATATTTTTCCCTCCCATCTCACTTTTTATTTGCAGAATGGGGAAGTGCACCCACATTTGAAATAAAGACTAAGATTGGAAATTTTGACAGAGGAATAGGATTTGAACTTGCTGCAGACTAGGACTGTTATAACAGCTGACCTGATCCTTCTGCATTTCGAGAGCTATTTATGGTAGATTAGCTGGTATCAAAGCTTCAGTGTTCAGCCCATAAAAGGTTGGTCCTGTGTGAAGCTACCACCCTGCATTTGGCTAAGGTTCGGGAGCCTATAGTTGTCTGTGAAGGAATTCTAATGATGGATAGAAATGCTAAACCAGAGAATTGTTCTGTTGAGAGTTTCAGATGCTGGACAACATTTGAAAGGAAGGTTTTTGCATTAATGTTTTGGCCCAGTTTTTTAGCCCTCGGAATATAACTTTTGCACATGAACTCTGTTTGGTGCGCAGACACTATTGGAAAGCACCTTTCTAAATTCATCTGGCACTTAATCATCTTGGCCAGTCACAGATATACTTCCAGAGCCTATGTGCTAGTAACTTGTTATGTGATGTGTCACTTAGACTTAAATATTTCTTTTTGAGATAATTTTTTGTTGACGTTGCAGTCTCTTCTGACTTAGTTCAATTGAAATATTTTAGAATAGTGGGAGTTTTTTTTTCCTTTGTGAAAGATCCCCCCCCCCCGTAATTAAGAAAAATAAGCTAGGTTTATAAAAAACAAGACCAACAAGACTTTTGAAGTAAGTAATTTCTATTTTCTTGAAATGTTTGATAGCAAAAGTGTTCAAAGCCAGTTGTTTGAGAATGTTTGAGCTTTGTCAGCTTGTTATGTGAATGAAGGTTTTTGTTTGCCCCCTCCAGAGTTTGTGCATGTCAGTCATTCAGAATGTTTTGAATCTGTTTTCTTCTTTTTGTGTATTGGATAAATTTCATTATGGATGGAATGCTTTCCTCAATGCCTTCTTTGTGTGAAATGTGTTACAATTAATGATAAATGTGTTGGCCTTTAAATACCAATGAAATACACTACATAAAATATAGCATGGGGGGCTAGTATTTATAGTGGAAGATTTGCATGGCCTTTATTAACATGTATATAAGATGAATAAGAACTATCCCCACTTAAGTGTTAGCAGTACACTTTTTATTCTCATTAAACTTAAATTATATTATGCTGAATCACCTTTTCTTGTAATTTCTGAGTTGACATAATCTGGTTTAGCATAGTATGCTGAATTAAACCATGTTTAACCATGGTTTGGTGAATGGACCATAGTTGATTGGGTTCATTAAGTTACAGTTTCTGAATAATGAGTTACTAAATAATTGACTGCTTTACATAACATATTAAGTCCAAAATCATGATTCCCAGACTATAATAACTATGCTAAGACCAAATTAAATAGTTTAGAGAAATTGGTAGCGACAATCAGTCAATTGTTCTCCCTCATTTGGCATTTCTGGGAAAGGAAATGAATAAAGTTTTTTAAAAAAACAAAGAATAAGAATAGCAGCATTTATTATGGAACATAGGCTTTGATATTCTGGCATTCATTTCTTACTACAAGACTGGCAGTACAAGCATATATTCATGTAAACACTGCATGATATCCTAATTTACTTAACGTGGTGACTATAATGTGTGCTCTAAGATGCCGTAAGTTCAAATTTTGTTCAAATACCAACACATTAGATCTCATAGATAAGCTATTGTGGCACATTTACCTGCTTCTGTTTATATCTCTATGTTATGATTTAAAAAGGACTTGTTCTGTCTTGTAGATCTCCTGTAGAGACCTGGAACAATGAGACATTTGAGATACTAAATATATTAGTATGATCAGTAAACCTATTAGCTAAGTGGACAATGAAATCAGTCCTTTGTAAAACACACTTACCAGAAAAAGGTGTTACGATGATAAACTATAAAAAACAGAATTCCTAAGAAGTCAGTATTTTGAAGATGAGAACATTGAGACACTATTGCATTCACATAAACTTGTTTTCTCTCAGTAATATCACACATACCTGTCTACCAGATTTTATGTGAAGATGGGACTTTCTTTGCAGTGCAGTGTAAATTGATTCTATAGGGCCATACAACCAACAAGGTTAGTTTATTATTTATTTATTAATTTCTATAGTTGCCCAACTCAACCAAATGACTCTGGGTGGCTTACAATTCTAAAATTATAAAACAATTAAAAACATTAAAAGAATAAAAACAAATACAAATAGTTTCAATGATGATTAACCAACTAATAGTAAAACTAAGTAATAGGCTCTTAATACCTTCCAAGGCCTTGGTACATAGCCTACTCAGTCCTCTGCAGCTGGCCTTGTTCATATTGTGGATAATTATGTATAGACATTGCCCCCAGGGGCTTCCATGCTGCTGTTCATACAAATGTCCAAAAGACATCTATATTTTATTTTAAAATGACTCGGATAGTAAACTAATTATAGCTAAAAGTTTTTTCATCTCTTCTTTATTCAAGACTGCTCTTCTATTTCAATTGGCAACATATTATACTAATGAACTTTTATAAAAACTGTCTGAATACAGGCATTATCTCCCCTAATATTTCCCTTACTGATAACATTTTAATACAGATAGTTTTCGACTTACAATCACAATTGAACCCAACATTTCTGTTGCTAAGCAAGATAATTGTTAAGTGAATATTGCTCCATTTTATGACCTTTCTTGCCACAGTTGTTAAGTGAATCACTACAGTTAAGTCAGTAACTCAGTTGTTACTTCCCCATTGACTTGGTTGTCAGAAGGTCACAAAAAGTGATCGCATAACTCAGTGACATTGCAACAGTCATAAATACATGCCAGTTCCCAAATGCCAAAATTTTGATCACATGACCATGGGGATGCTGCCATAAGTGTAACAGATGGTCATAAGTCACTTTTTTCAGTTCCATTATTAACTTAGGACAATCACCAAATGAATGGTTATTAATTGAGGACTACCCGCATAGCCCCTTTTTTGCCTTGCTTTAAAAGCTATAGTACATTTCCCATACTGATTTATTCTATTTAGATAATTATATTCCTCTCTTGAAACAATCAAAGAAAAAAAAGACACACTAGCAGCTAACAGTCGCAACATGAAAAACATGTGATTAATGTATAAGGCCTCAATGGATGAATTAAGAAATTAAGCTGAACCAAAAGCAAAGTTGGTCAGAGTTAAAAAGCTTATTAAGAAAAATAGCAGAAAAAACGGAGATCAGAAAAGAATTCTCAGAGGAAAGAGCTTAAATCAAAGTGCTTTTAAAATCAGAAAGCATGGAAAGATTCTTATAGAAGAAATTTATATCTTGAGCCCAGACATTCTTAAAGACATCAACAGACTTATGTGTTGTAAGTACCATATATCTAAGTGGAGAAAGCTAAGACAGCTTCTATAATAGATATACTGCTAACTTCCTAGGTCGTTTCCTAATCATAGCACCTTTCATGTTTGTTGAAGTAAAGTTCCCATCATTCCCAAACAGCACACCATGCTATCTCATGAACTGGGATTTGTAGCCAAATGTATTTATTTCTAAATACAGTCCATTCTTATGTCAAATGCAGATGTTTTGAATTTTGGGTTCCAGATATCAAGTCTTCCCATGGCCAAGTTTTTTAAATATCACGTTTGAGTGGAGCAGAAATTGAATGACTGATTTTGACTAATAATGATAGCAGAACACTACAGATAGGCAGAGCTGTGCCCTCTGAATGTGGCATATGCTCTTCCTGACCCTCAAGTGAGCAGAAATATCTCAAGCCATGTTCTGTAATAGTCTAATAACCCAATGCTTTGTATTCTTTATCAGTTTCATACCAACAAAGGAATCCCTGCCACCTTAAAAATACACACACACACACACACACACACACACACACACACACACACACACTTCAAGATTACAAACTGGAACCCTTTTGTTTAGTCATTATGGTGGCACATGCCAGAACCTATGTGTTATAAGCAGTTAAGATGTTGCCCACACACTGGGCAGACCCAAGTTTAGATCTCCAGGTCTGTCTAGTCCTAAATCAATACCTTAATTGGTGATGTTATGCAAGTTCACTCTCTTAGCAAAACCTATCTACAGGATTATTGTTGGGAGGAAGTATAGAGCATAAGGAAAATGACCTTAATGAAGGTACGGACGTTCCACTGCCAAAGCAACAAGAAGGAAAACATTTTTTAAGTCTAGAACATCCATATCATGTTTGGAAATGGATCAGATAGGCATCTATAACTATAAGAATAAGGAAAAGGAACAGCAAAAGCAGAGTTGCAAGATTGTGTTTTTATAGCCAATTGCAGTAAAAAGTTTTTGCACTTTTTGTGGTGTTGATTTCTTGGTCTGGTCTACCTGGTAGAGCAACAGTAAGAAGGGAGAGCTCATAGAAGAAAGTCAAGTTACAAATCTAACATGTAAATATAAATAAATACAACCTTCTCACCTTGCCACTTTCCCCAGAAGATAGGATCATGGAGGTGAGTGTCAAATGTCAGTAAAAGAGAGGATTGCAGCTGTTTCAGCTACTTGCATACAGAAGTTCCCTGTTGCATTGAGCCTTAATAGGGTGATCAGTCAACAACTTCATGCCACGCTTTGCTATTAAAGAATGGATGGACTGTTTATTGAATACTGTTCTTCTGGGAAAATGACAATTTCAAACCGTCATCGAAACTAATGATAAATAATTTCCTTTTCCAAAGCAAAATAAATTTGAAAGCAAACTGAAAAGAAATTAATTTGCTTCATAAAGTGGAAAAATATATTAAAAGCAAATTAGATAAACATGAGTAACATTCCCTTTTTAATAGCACTGATGTGGTTCCATGTATTAAATCATATTTATAGAAAAGGCTTATTCTTGGGATGAGAAGATTCAGCAATATTTGAAGAGCTCTTCTTGATATACACAGCTGGTTGAAGGAACATATAGTCAGAATATTTTATTGTTAACTGTATGCTACACCTGTAATCCAGATGTTATATATCAGGGGAAAAAGCACTAGGACATTTTGTTCCATATCACAGAACAGTAAGCATGAATAGCACACAAATAAAACATCTGCTGTTTTTTTTTTTTTTTGCAGAAGAAGCAGCTGATTATTCACTACTCCAAAGTGCTGTTTCTCAATCGCAGCATCTGGGGAATTCTGGGAGTTGAAGTCCACAGTTGTTAAGGTTGTAAAGTTATTAAGGTTGAAACATGATTTAGGAAGCTGTCAACCACAAAACATCAGGTGCACATGTGAAGATTTAATTAAGCTGATTTTTTGCTAAAAGCCTGTGCACAAGAATCTTCTCAACTAATAGTCAGCACTTGCTTAGATAAGAATCATTCCAGGGGGCTTGGATTTAGTTTGCTTGTGATGACATAGGGATTCTAAGCTGAGCCTTCTTTTAATTCTTTACCCAAGTTCTGCCATCCCTTCTACAGGAGCCCATCTAACATCTCTTTTGTCGTTAGGATTCCAGATAGGTAAGTTAAAATGTAATAATATATAATAATAAACTAAATAATGAATATTACTGTGTTCTGCAATACTTCATAAACTGTAGCTTGCCTTTACCTGATTGGAGAGGCAACCTAAGCGAGCCTTGGCTGCTAGAAGCTAGTTTTGCTGGGCACTAAGCTGATGGGAACTGGTTCTCCCATCAGAATTTGGCCATCAAATATTTGCTCATCTGTTTTTCACATGTGATGAATTACAGTGGGAATGTCTACTTTGGTTTGATAGTGGAGAATGGATAATGTTTGATGAAAAGTGATTTAATAAGCATATAGGTTACTTGGCTGTGGTGGCTGAAGGATTTTAAGAACTGAAGATGGACCCATTTTTTTTATTGAAAAGTTTTATACAAGTTTTTAACAATATCCCCTCTAAAATAACCCCCTCCCTCCCTCCCCCCCTCACTTCCCAGAGCTGGTTACAGGGTTACAAATAAACAAACAAAGTCTAAATAAACTTATCCAACTATACAAATAACAAAATCAATAATGTACTTTAACTCGAATACAAAACAAATTTAAGCAAATAAAATATTAAAAAAAGAAAAAAATAACAATATAAGCAATTCCAAATTGAAAAACTAAAAATTATTCATAATCTAAATAATACTTTTTAATCCCATATCAACTCTATTTACTCTACATGTAATTTATCCATCTTCCCCACGCTGAGGTGTATATTTCTTTTAAACAACCATTTATCCCAGATGGATGAACCCATTTTGAAACCCCAAGTTTGGAAGGTCTTTCTAAATATATTTCTAAATCAACATCATGAGATGTTGGTTATTAAATATTTGAGCCATAATTTATAAAAATAGGCGTTTGCAGTTGTTCCATAATCACAACATGGATCAAAACTTTAAAAGAGGTCAACACATTTATATTCTTGCATAGCATGATCCTTCTGATCTACTGATTTTATAATTGATTTAGTTTTGCTGAGAGAGATTATCCTCTCAAAACTGGAACTAACAAACATAAGCATTTATTTCATTTTTTTTCTAATGTGCTGTTAGTGCTTGCTTATTTTGTTAATGTTATGTGTGCAAAGTGACTACTTGCTCTTTATTAATTATCATGGAGATAAAACTTTGATAATGTGTCACTGTAGTGGCATCTCTGACCTCCCATCCTACAGAAATGTTGTTGGCAATGAAGAATCCTAACCCTAAGTTTTCATTTCTTTCAATGAATCTACCCTCTTGTCAGACGGAAGGGTATAATTTCTTCCTTTGACCTGAACTAGTAGGTAAGTTTAAAAAAATTAAAATAATTGCCTACATTTGAAAGTTTTAAAAAGAAACTAAACCATGTTTATATCTGCAGCATGAACAAAAAAAAATTCATTCTAGTTAAAATATAAAAATATAACCACAGATTAACTGTATAATTAACATTCTGTTGCTAATCATTAACAATAAAAATATTAACTGTATTGCAAAGGTTTGAAATATTAGCATTGCTTATATCCCAGTTACAATATCCACATTCATTGTATTGTATAGTAATGCAATCTGAAAATAAAATTCAGGACCCTTTACTATTGCTGTGTAACAGAGTTATCTACCATTGTTATGTCTGCAGAAAACTATATTGGCATGATATTTACTGGCCATCTCACGGAATCCACTCTTGCGCAAATTGTGTGTGTTCTGACTTGCTGCCAAGTATCCTAATTTCTTTGGTTGTGCCAGCTCGTGGGAAAATTGTCTGCCACATTTTGCACTACTCCAACAAAAAATAGGGTGGGTCAGGCTTCAAGACTCAACCATTCTCTAGACCCTTCCTGTGTCCTTCCTCCTGCACCACAGACCTTCATAAACTAAGCTCAACAAAACAAAACAACCCAGATCAGAGTCAGAAGGGAGCTGAGTGACAACAATACTCTTATTTAAGATTTCTTTCTTCCTCTTTTCTTTTCTTTCTTTTTTTTTTTTTTTTTGAATAGGCAAAAATGCCACTTTCCAGATTCGTATGCATTCAGTTTGGGAGAGAATTGAGGGGCAGGAACTATCATGGCACAATTTTGTATTTTAACTTTGTGTAGATGGAAGTAAAAGTAAAGATAAAGTTTTCCCCTGTCCAGTCATGTCTGACTCTAGGGGGCAGTGCTCATCTCCATTTCTTAGCCAAGGGAGTCAGCATTGTCTGAAGACACTTCCGTAGTTATGTGGCCAGCATGATTATATGACAAGGCGCATGAAACGCTGCTACCTTCCCACCAAAGTGATATCTATTTATCTATTCGCATTTGCTTGATTTCAAACTGCTAGATGGACAGGAGCTGGAGCAACTAACGAACTCAATCCCTCACATGGCGCTCAGGTCTCAAACTTGGACTATCAGCTTTCCAGCTGACAAGTTCAAGATCTTTAACCACTGAGCCAGAGCTATAAAATCTGATAGATGACCCGTATAATACTGCCTTGTCCAGTTTCTTAGAGAGACAAAACACTCATTTGATTGTAGGTGAGATTACCTTAATACCTCTACATTTAAAGGACAATTTAAGCCTGTCTCACTATTGGATTGGAAAAAAAAGAAAGATGCCATGAGCACATAGCCCAGAAGAAAATATAGAGATAAAGTGTTTAATCAAACTTGGTGAGAAAGTATTTAGGATAGAAATATGACATAGTTCATAAAATAGTGGCACCAGGCAGAAGCTGAGTCATAGCTTAAGTCATGCATTGGATTTGAAAGCTACATGGCATGAAAAATTTTCCATCACCATGGCTGAAGCAAATAACAAACTTAAATAATTTTGCTATAAATTTCATATTTATAAGTCTCAGCAGCTTTCAATCTTTGTGATAGTTCTAAATTCTAATTAAATCTGAGCTTTACTAATGAGCCCAGATTGGGCTAATTAAAGGACAGGTGTGGTATGATGCACACTATTCTACATCTGTAGATCACATTCATAATTAAAATTCAATGTACATTGTTGTCTAGTGCAAACTTCTTTATTGTATGATATAATGGGGAAATTTCTTGAGAGCCCTCCTAAGATCTTGATATTATGGATACTATTGAAGAAAATAAATCTGTTTAGAAAGTAGAGCAGCTGAGGAATGCATGAGGTTTTCTGAAAGTAGAAATGATCTGGTTGCTTCCTGAAGTATTCAGCTATGATGTTAAACATATCTGTGGTGTTACTAAGATGTTATGATCTACTGAATTTCACAGAATAATGTGTCAAGAGATTTAAATAGTTGCTGTGAATGGGCCAGTTCCTGGCATACTTTTTAGTGTATGGCAGAGCAGCAGACAAACCAAAACAATTGCAGGAATTGGGTATGTCTAGTTTAAAAGAAGGACTAGGGGTGAAATGATAGCAGTACTCCAATATCTCGGGTTGCCATAAAGAAGAGAGAGTCAACCTATTCTCCAAAGACATGAAGGTAGGACAAGAAGCAATGGATGGAAATTACTCAAGGAGATAATCGATCTAGGACTAAGGAGAAATTTCCTGACAGAACAATTAATCAGGGGAAAGAGTTGCCTCCAGAAGTTGTGCGTGCTCCAACACTGGTGGTTTTTAATTGGACAGTCATTTGTCTGAAATGGTATAGGGCTTCCTATTTGAGCAAGGGATTGGACTAGATCTCCAAGGTCCCTTCCAATTCTTGTTATTCTGTTACTGTTAATTGGTTGATGATAGTTTATATTTTCTATGTGAATTGGCAGAAAAAGAGACTGAGGAGAACAGTCCCAAGAATGCTGTTGTCGATTTAAGCTTGAAAATTTGGAAGAAAGTGAAAAAAGGAAAGAAAAGGGACAGGTCAAGCAAAGGAGGCAGAATGGGGAGAGACATTAGACATATTATCACATTAAGCATCCTGACATCTAGCAGGGGATTAAACAGGATATTTTTAAGACTCATATTTCAGTTCAGTTGCTAATTTTAAATTTGTGCAAGTGACCTGGAGGGAAGGGCTTGTTATAGTCTAATTGCAGACTATAAGACTAAATTAAATTTTCAATCATCCCAAGAGAAAGGAAGAGTGCATAAAAAAAACTACTTTGCCAGTGAGCTGCAGCTGGAATTATTCTACCAGCAAATTCATATTAAGTATTCTCTTTATAGGCTACTATAAAATGACAAATTATAAATAAACATAAGCATTATTCAGCCCAGTATGACAAATGTAGAATTTTAACATTGGTGAGAATCTTGTGGTTCTTTTAGAACATTTTCTCACATGGTAAACAACATGACAAGATGAGTATAACTGAGCCCTTCATATGTAAAAATATGTAAGTATATGATATACTTTACCTCTTAGCTCTTTTGAAAGTGAAGGTTGTGGCAACTACCTATATCATATGTGAATTGACTCTCATATGAGGTTGTATAGCCTGTAGTCTGATATCTACACTCTTTCTTGAAAAGGTTTAGGTGACCAGTCTTGCAAGTCAATAGTGGTCTTGTTCACTGAAGGATATTGTTATGAATGTATGCTGGTCATAATAGATGGGGACTGTTAATAATTTATACTATACACCAGGGCTTTTCAACCTTTTCACCCATTGTACCACTTTTAGGATATGGCAATATCCGAGTACCACCAGTCACCTAGCAAGGTGTCAAAAACCTGATGACCCCCCCCCCCAAAAAAAGAAAAAAAGTGATAAAGTACAGGTAGTCCTCAACTTACAACAGTTCACTTAGTGATTGTTCAAAGTTACAATGGCATTGAAAAAAATGCCCCCCAAGCCACAGCCGAGCAAGACACCTACCTGCCTGCCCAGCATTATTCTTCCTCCTGTCTGAGGTTTTCATTGTTGTGACCATTTCTGTTGAGGATTGACAGTGGGGGTGGGGTGGGGGGGTGTTTGGTTTTTATTCCCCCCATCTGCTGGGTGTTGCAGCAGGTTTTGGTCACTTCACATGACCCTGGAACACTGTGACCGTCATAAATATGAATCAATTGTCAAGCATCTGAATGTAAATCACAAGACCCCGAAGATGCTGCAACATTCCAGTGATCGGTGTTTCTTCTGGCCCTGATCCTGGCGCTTCCACTAAGCCCTGACAGTCCTGCAGCTCCAGCCATCTCTCGCTCAGGCTTGTGCGGTGCTGCCACCGGTTCATCTCATTCCCCTCCCCCGCTACCACTTTTCTAGGATGGTCGCATACCACCTGCCAGGTGCCAATGTTCCGCAGGTGATACCCATACCACTGGTTGAAAAGCCCTGCTATATACCATATCTGTCATTTGAAGTGGTATAATTTCAAAGTTCAACTGAACTTTGAAAGTTCAAAGACAACTGAAAAGAAAAACAGTTTGACAGTCCTTGTTTAGGCTATATCAACAAATTGTCTCTCACTTTAAAAAGATGTGGCAAACCGTTCCCAATCTGATGCCTTCTAAAACACAACACCCCCACATATCTGCCAGAATGTCTAATAGCATCAGAAGGACACAGACTTGCAGAAGAGTTGTGTGTCAATTACATTATATCAACTTGGCCAATTCAATTCAACAGGATTGATACACTCCTAGGTTTTTATTTATTTATTGGGACTCCAAAGGCACAGTTTCTCTGTTGCATTGCCTGGCCATTAGAATAAGGTTCCCCTGAGATCTGGGTGGCTCCCACCCTTGTTTGGAGGATCCTGAAAACTTGACTCTTCACCCAATATTTGACAAGAGTGGGTATTTGTGTTTTGTTGTTGCCCTCTTTGTTTTTTGTGTTTCTTCTTTTGGTGCTACTTTATTTTTTTATCATTTTAAAGTTTTCATATTTTCCTGGGATCTGCTCAGAGTTATTGGGAGTATGATAGTATAAAAATTAAATTAAGTAAGTAAGTAAATAATAAAGTGATGAAATATTGGGAGAATAATCCAAAATGAAGAAAAAAAATTCTTATTTATTAAGTTTTGGTCAGATGAGACATCACTGATCAATAAGTCTTTAGAATTTCATAACTATCCAGTCAGCAAATTCAAAATAACTCTTCACTCGTAGCAACTTATCCAACAATTTCAACCTTGTTTGATTTCTCCTCCTATTAGTTTGGTGAGCACTCTTTTCTTTTTCAAGTCAAAATCTGAAGTCTTTTCAATAACTCCTTAGGTACAACTAAATTATTTCTAAGCACTTTCAATAAATGAGAGAATAAGAGTATTTTATTTGTGGCATGCAAGCTGTATTAAAAAAAAATTCTTTCCATCAACTGTTTGGGATCTGAAAGAGGGGGGATTTGTTGTAGCTGGTAGGATTACATAGGAATTGGCAAACCCTTCTATCTTGATTTTAAATTATTCTACTAGCAAGTACGATTATGATCGATTAAATATATACCTGCAAATTTGTTGAAAGTTTGGAGTATAAGTTTGCTTCTGGTTTAAATAGTATGTTAAAAATGAGAACATTGTTTTGTGTTAGCAATTCACATTAGAACAATACTTTTTGTTGTCTAATTTCAGATAATATCTTTTACATCTGGCATAAATTACCTTTTGAAGCAGAGTGAGCCAATCATTGGCTGTGGATGTGGAAGGAATTTATGAAACTGACTGTCCTATGTTCTTGTAATTTAAGAAGCATTATAAACAGAGATGAAATGCTTCTGTAATCCTGGCAGGAAAGAAACAAGAAAATAATAAAAGTGACATTGTGGTTTGGAGAAAAAAGCCAAGCAAACTTAAAAACAATTCACAATGTTTCTATAGTCTGAAATCCAGATGTTTTATACACTTGAAGCATTCCAAATTTTAATTTTAGGCATCTGTAGAATAGGGTTGGAGGAGACATTTCTTTGATCCAGTTTTTAACAAATATTTTTATCATATTTTTGGAACCCTCTAAATCTGACTGTGAACCAGTCCGCATAATTGGAGAGTGAAATCTGCTATTTTCTCAAATTTGGAATATGACTTGGAATTCAAGAAATACGTACATACGTACGTATGTACGTATATTTATTCCAAATACATATATTGTATATTAAGTAAATGGCTCACAAAGATCTATAAATAAAAGTAGATAATGTATTATATTGAGGGGAAAAAATTCTTGGAAAAATGAAAAGCAAACTTCTCAAGAATACATGCATCTTTTTATATCTCCTGTCAGTTTCTCCAGGATTTTATTTTCTCCTTTTAATTCCCTATTCTCACATTTCCTAGTTGTCTCCAATCCAAAGATTAGCCACACTTCACAATGCTTGCTTTGGAGATCCATTCAGTTAAATTAGAGATTTTTAAATGTTAATCATATCACAAAAGTCTAATTGTTCTTTAACTTATTTTAATTATCATTTGAAGCCAAGATGAAGTCTAATTTGAATATTTCATAGAGGCAATTATTTTTATTGAGAGTTATATCTAGAGGAGATTATTTGAAGTCAGTGAATCAGTCAAAAATCAAATCCCTTGGGTCCACTTTAACTCTAACAAAATTGTTTGCTCAGTTTTGTACAGCTTCAGAATATTTCATTTCATGAATAGATGGTATTTTAGAAAATTACACTTATTTTTAAAATCATGATAAGCAGCATGAGAGTACTGTTGATGCCAGCTGAAAGGGTCATTTCTTTGCTTGCCTGTATAACACCAAATGCCATTTATGAAAACAATTCCACATGCTGATTGCTCTTTTTTCTGATAAAAGCACAATTGAAACCCAAGCAAACAGGGCCTTAAGTAGAAAGGGGATCTTATTAATTATGGGCTGAATGCAAGTGATTTGCTCTCTGTATTCCTCTCTAGTAGTTGTAAATTACTAAACTTTGAAATACTGATGTTTTAAATATGTTTCTTCAACTATAGTGGAGAAGATAAGTTGCAGACCTCTATTTGGTATCCTAGATATGACACTGTTGAGAAACCATCTTTGGAATGACATGTTCAGTGTTTGCATGCTAGAGGTACATTCTTATGATAAGAAAGATTGTCCAAAATGAAGCCCAGTCTGCAGTACACCCTGTAGGGGTTGGACCATCTTTAGAATTTTTGAAGAAGTCACAAGTGAAAGTAAAATATTGAAGTTTCAGGATTTGAAGATCCATTTGAAGCAGAGTTTCTTAAGAAGATTAGGGGGAAAAAAATTATAATGAAAGCCACTTACCCCATATAATGGTTTTCTTGTACTTGTAGGAAAAATAAAGAACATTCAGTTGAATTTAATGTGTTCACTTAAAAATAAGTATACGTAAATAATAATCTTAGTATTCAAAAAAACTAAAAGTTACATAACCGAAAATATGAACAAAATTATGTTTTAGGTATATTGAATTGATTTATTTATCAGAAATGAAGAATGGGAATAATTTCATTCTACTCCCTAACATGTGAGATCTAATGTGTACCTTTGCAGAATATTGTTTTTATTGGTAATACTATCTGGATGAACATAGAATCATGTTAGTATAGATAGGATTATCAAAATATAATCTACCAGATGCACTGATACTCAATATTTCCAATTAGTGTCGTTCAGGATCGGATTATTTAAATATGCATATGACTGGACTGATTTTTGGACTGATTTTGAAAATCTTTCCTAACAGCAGCTTAGGGTTATAAATAATTTGTAGTGCATTCCAGTTCAAGGTAATGGATAGTTTTGGTTGAAATAATGTTGAATAGTGTAGTTGATTTCAGTGGTATAATGCTGATACATTAGATTTTTCTGCTGTTGGATTTTTAATACTGTTTTTAAGATTATCTTTTAAATAAACAATATAAATTATTATTAGTAACTGTATTTCTGTATCTGTGGAAGCCATTTAATGGAGGACTGGGCCCTGAACATTTCCAAATAAGTAAGATTTAATTTTTTCTCTGATGCTTTTTCATCTGCTATATATGAGAACTGGCCCATATCTCGCTGTAGTTTGAGCCACATATTGTTTGCCTGTCTTTGGTTCATTCCTTTAGGCCTGTTTTAAATAGTTTAGCTTCCATTTTAAAAGTTTGCTGAGCTGTGTTAGATGACAACTATATGTACCTTATTAGTAAGATTGCTATTGTCTGCATACATGTTTTTCTGAATATTACAAGAGAAAAACAAACAAAAAAAATGTAGCCCAAGTCAGTTTGCTGTCAAGATCTTATCCCAGGGTCTATGGATGGGGAGGAAATGACTCGGTTCAACCCCTGACCTAATGAAATAAGCAAAAGGGTTGCATCGTTAGAGCGGAACAGGATCCTACTTCCCTCATTACATTTAGTGTGCAATTCAGGATGCGGGTTAGATGTCTTCTTGAATTCTTAGCTCTTACTCAAGAAGCAGGTGGCAGCTTGGCCAAGAAAGCCAAGATTAATAAACAGATTAATCTAATGAGCTGATTGTGGTCATACTTGAATCAGAAGGCCCTTAGGGCAGTCCCTGATATTATGACCCTCTTGTGTGTAGACTACTACAATGCAGTCTACATGGGGCTGCCCTTGAAGAGCACTGGAAAGCTGCAACTTGTCCAGAATGCAGTGACACAGGTTGTTATGGCTATATGCACCATAGCACCCCTGCTCTGTAAGGTGCACTGATTATCAGGTAGGCTTCCTGGTAAGTTGCTTATTAACACTTTAAAGATAGTCCTTGATTTACAACCATTCATTTAATGACCTTTGAAGTTACATTGGAACTGGAAAACTGACTTATGACTGGTCCTCATATTTACAACGCTTCCCCCTAGTCACGTAATCAAAATGTATTTATGACGGTTGCGGTATCCTGGTGTCAAATCCCCATTTGCAAAAAAACAGTTAGTGGGAGAAGCCAGATGTGCTTAACAATTGTGTAATTCATTTAACAACTGCTGTGATTCACTTCACAGCCATGGCAAAAAAAGGTCATAAAGTCAGCCGTGACTCACTTTTGCTTAGCAATGAAAATTCTGGTCCCAATTGTGGTTATAAATTGAGGACTACCTTCATAGCCTGCTTGTCTGGTGCAACATCTTTATTCTCTAATTTGTGCCCATCCCAAGTGACTGGGCATGCTCTGGGCCCCATTAATTAAAGAGTATCGCCTAATGGGGCTAAAGAAGTGCCTCTTCTTTGTAATAGCACCTGCCCTCTAGAACAACATCCTGCCTAAAATCTGTAGAGTCCCCACCCTGACTTTGTTTAGACAAGCGTTTAAAACCTGGCTCTTCCCTGAGGCTTTGAGATAGAGATGAGAGGCTTATAGGATGAGAGGCCTATTGAAGGTTGTGTTATGTCATTTTATACTGCATTGCTTTAAACTTCTTGTATTGTGTCCTATATCCAGAGTCAGGATAGAGTTGGGTGGCCTTAATAAATGATAATATTTTCTCACAACTGTCTTTCAATAAATGCTACTGAATGAAAGAACACTTTGAACTGAGGCTTTGCAAACCTGAACTTAACTAGTATAGATAATAAGCATTTTTAAAGTTAGTATCTTTCAAATGTTTTGATTTAATACTCAGAATTTCCTCTTAGCATTCAGCGGTGATATTTGGGTTGTAGTCCATTATATCTGAAAGTCACTAAACTGGCTATGTGACCTGGTAAGCTGAATTTCTTTTTCATAAGGCAACTTAATTCTAGGAAGCTTATGAAGCAATTGATTTATTTTATTAATAGACTTAAAAGTGGAAGATCTGATATTGATACAGTAATTTTGCAGTTGCCATTTTCTGATTTATAAACACAATGTATCTTCCTAAAATAGCAATTAAAAGATTACCAGAATATGTATAAATCTGTAAATTATAATCATTAAAATTACTCAGAAAGCTGTGGATTTAAAACAAAATATTGCAGTGGGGAAAATGTGCAGAACCTTGATTTAAAAGCAGGTGACAATTCTTCTCCCTGGAGAAGACAATAATAAAATAATTATAAAATAATAATAAAAACATATATTTCTCCAGCATGCAGATGTAGCATCCACCGGTGGGTTATTTCAGCCTTCCGCTCAGAGAGACTAAGTTCAAAGTTCAGCCACACCTCCTTGGGGCGGTCCTTCCCCAGAGGACCGCCCCAAGGAGGTCTTTGCTCAGAGCAGTCGCAATTTTGGTAGCTCCTGCTAAACTAGAGTAAATTGTATTTATTTAATTTATTTAATTTTATTTAATTGCTTGCACAGATAGTTGTTTTTGTTACTAGATTATTACTGTTAGCAGTTCGTATTGAAGGTTTAGCCAGGCAGAGCTTTTGGCCAGCAGAGGCTCGTGGGCCTCTGGGGGCGATCGCTCCGACTCTGTTGGAACTACGAAGAGCGCTGCTACAAAAAGGAGCCTGAATTCGGCACTTAGAAGTGGATTGCTTTCAAGTAGATTCCACAGAAGTGCAGCTCGGTTGGGAGGCTTCATTCTTCCCTCGTGGCCACGAGGCTCCAGCAGGTACTTGCCTGGATCTGGATTGCAGCGAAGGCTGCGTAACAACCGCAAGTCTATTCTGCCTTGTAGATAAAGAGGGGGAAGGATCAAGTTTGCAGATTCCCCAGTATTGTTGTTATCTGGTGATTTGGTCATTGGGAAAGTTCTCCCTGGGGCGTCGCCATTTTGCAAGCCATGAGGCTTGCGGCCACCATTTTTGATTTCAATTTGGGCGTGGTCGCCATTGTAGGCCTCATCTCAGACCTGTGTTTTCACTATAGCCTACTGTGCTAGGCTCCTAAGAGGGAAAATTATACTGTATCTTCTTGGCTTTCCTTATTACTTACCTTATTATTATTAGAGAATAAAGGAGAAGTGGAATCTGAACATATACACATAACACAATCTGTTATAATTAAGGGACTATTTGCATTACCTGTTCCTATAGCTCACAGACGCTGTTCTCAGCAGGGCCTAACCAAGCAGTTTTAGTGGACTGTCTGGCTGTTTGCCATTGCTGTTGTTCAGAGCGTGGGAATTTCCCTCTCTGACAACCAGATCTGCATATATATTCCCCCCATTCCTGGATATCTCCTACTCAGAATATCTATAGAGAGTGATGGCAGACAGTGAAACTCCTCAGACATTGCAGGGTTCTGGAGTCCCCCCCCCCACACAACCAAAGTGCAGATCTTCTGAACTGAGCGTGGGGGGGGGGAGAAGAAGGCTAAAACTAAGCATTTAACCACCAAGGAACCTTCCAAAACTGCTGAGAGAGAAGCCTGGAGGAGATATCAGGCACTAGAAAAGGAATTTTCCAGGATGCAAAGGCTCAGGTCCAGTGAGGCTGAAGTGGTTCCCCCTGTTTCACTGGACCAGTCCCCATTTGACCTCCAGATGTGCCTTCTTATGATGCCCCCAGGGCTTGGTCTCCTCAAGAGGAAACTGAACAGGTTAGTTCCTATTCCTCTCCTCCTCATTCCTCTCATCTTCCTCCTCCTCCTCCTCCTCCTCCTCCTCCTCCTCCTCCTCCTCCTTCTGTTTCTTCTGTTTCCATCATGCAACAAGTTCCAGAGGTCACACATTCTCCCACAGTGGTTAGTCCTCATTCCACAGATCAGGCCATATGGGCAGAACAATTCCAGAGCTACATGCATCAGGCATTCAACCAATTTATGGCTTCTTCAATGAGTCAAGGGTTTCCCCAGGAACCCCCCCTCAGCCCGTACCTGTATCACAGACGGGGTGTGCTCAGATACCAGGTTCTGGTGCATCTGAAGCGTCATCTCAATTAGGAGAAGGTGAATCGGTGGACCAGAAGGTGAATCAGTGGATATTCCCATGTCAGAGAATGAGGAGGCGGCCCCGGACCTGACTCCTACAACAGGTCTCTTTGATCCATCCCTATTCAGATCTTTACTTGTGAAGGCCTGCACCACGGCCAAATTGGCCACGGAGCAGGAACCTAAACCATCTACATCTGCTACACAGGAGTCTAATCCCTTATTTGCGGAAAAGGTAGTAGAGGATAAGCAGATTCCATGTCCTGCCATATTCCGCACTACTGTGGAAAAGCAGTGGGCTTCATTGGCCACATTGCCTTCTCCCAATAGCACGGATAAGAATCTTTTTAATGTATCTTCTTCCTTTGACTCTCTTCTAGAGGTGCCAATGGTGGACACTCCGCTCACCTCTCTGTTCTCCACATCCACAATCCCTGGAGACATGGCAGAGAATCTGAAGGCGGAGGATATGCTCGGCAAGGGCAATTAAGGCAACAACGTCTTTGTCCTTCTTTGCAAGGATGTCTATCATGTGGCTTCGTGAGTTACAAGCTCTGATTCCACCTGAACAGGTGCATACTCACCAGACGCTAGGGAAACTGGTAGCAGCGTCAGAATATATGGCTGACTCTTCCCTACAGTCTGCCAAGTTTTCAGCTAGGTCCATTGCGGCCATGGTTTTTGCACACAGACTCCTGTGGCTCAAACACTGGAAGACAGACCTGAAATCAAAGTAGCGCCTATCAACAGACACTTATAGTGGGAAGCAGCTATTCTTGAACCATTCCTGATAGAAGGGAAGAATAAGCGGAAGGTTCTGACGCACCCCTCCAAGAAGGTGGATAGAAGGCCTCAGCAGGAATTTTGCAGACAGGCCTTTCATGCTGGGGGCTCGTGGGAGGGCAGGCAGCCCTTTCAGAGTGGGCAAACCTGGGATTGGTCCAGAGGCTCTCACTCCTTCTCCCCCAGGCAGGATCGGCAACAGGACCGCCAAGGTTCTGGAAGTAAGACCCAGTTCCAAACGTCCCTTTTGAGGGGCTGGGGGTTGCCCCTTCAGGAAATCCAAGTGATGCCAGGGCAGACTCTCCCATAGGGGGTCGCTTAGCACTGTTCAGCGACACTTGGGAGGTCACCACCAACGACACTTGGGTGTGGGAGACCATAAGATACAGTCTCGCCTTAGAGTTCCTTTCCATTCCGTCAGACCATTTCATTCAGTGCCCCACTTCAAGAAACGCTGAAAAGGCCGAGCTAGTGTCCAAAGCCATCTCTCATCTTTTAGACATAGAGGCCATAGAACCGATTCCATGGGACCAGATAGGGAAGGGGTACTACTCCATCCTATTCATTATTCCCAAGGCCTCGGGTGGTTGGAGGGTGATTCTGGACCTAAAAGGGCTAAATTACTTCCTGGCCTACAGGAGATTCAAATCAATTCTGGCCAGCATCAGAAAAGGGGATTTTCTCTCCTCCATAGACTTGACCGAAGCGTATCTTCACATTCCCATCCTCCCACAACACCGCAACTTTCTCCAGTTTTGTTATGCGCACCAGCATTACCAATACAGAGCACTACCCTTCAGCCTTTCTTTGGCTCCTCGGGTATTCACCAAAATATTGGCAGTAATAGCAGCCCAACTCAGATTGGTGCTGGTGCGCGTACAATGTTACCTGGACGATATAATTATCCTATCCAGATCCTTCCATTCTGCCCAATCGGATCTACAGATCATGATAAAGACACTGCAGGAGCACGGATTCTCGATAAACTTCAAAAAGAGTCACATAGTTTCTTCCACTCGAATCCTCCACCTAGGAACTATAATAGATTCCATCCTGTGCATGGTTTATCTCTCTCAAGAATGCAAGGTTTATCACTCTCAAGGTCGCTCATCCACGGGATCCGGAGAGAGAAGGTAGTCTCGCTTGTCCAATTGTCTCAGATGTTGGGCAAGATGGTGTCCTGTCTGGGCATTGTTCCATGGGCCAGACTGCACTCCAGGGACCTCCAGTGGTTCCTCCTACCCTTCCAGAGACGGAACATGAGTGCCTCAGCAAGGAAGGTGAGAGTGCCACAACACATCCTGTCGTTCCTACTATGGTGGACGTCGTCGGCATTGAACAGGGGGTCCCTATTCAAGGAACCCCCCAGACTCAAGCTGACCACGGACGCCAGCCTATTCAGCTGGGGGGCACATCTCCAGACTCACATGACACAGGGTCGATGGTCACAGTCAGATCTCACACACAATATAAATTGGCTAGAGTTGAGAGCTATACATCTAGCTCTCCGTCACTTTTCCGAAATTGTGGTGGGGAAATATGTCCTGATAATGACGGACAATGTAGCAGCCAAGGCACACGTCAATAGACAGGGAGGGACCCAGTCATGGTCCCTCATGCTGGAGGCACTGGATCTGGGGCTGTGGGCAGAGTCCAAGCTGAAGTCCATCTGTGCGGAGCACATATCAGGAGAGGCGAATCAGCAAGCCGATTCACTGAGCAGAGTGACAGTCAATCACTCAGAGTGGAGGCTGGACCCGGCTCTGTTCCTGGAAATTTCGAGGTGGTTCGGACAACCGCAGGTGGATTTGTTTGCCTCGGAAGCAAATTCTCATCTCCCAAGGTATTTCACCAGGTTCCTGTCGCTGGGGGTGGAGGGAACGGATGCCCTCTGCAGCAGGTGGCCGAAGGAACTGCTTTATGCCTTTCCCCCGCTTCCACTCATTCAGGCTACCATCCACAACGTCCTTCTGGAACAGGCGGAGGTAATATTGGTGGTGCCACACTGGCCAAGATGGCCGTGGTTTGCAGACCTCGTGGACTTGTCGGTATCTCCCCCATGGAGGATTCTGCCGAGCCGCATAGCACTCAGTCAGGGGAATCTCCAACATCCAGACCCCCAGTGGCTTCAACTAGCCGCTTGGCACTTGAGCAGGAGAGTTTAGTCAGACAGTCCTATTCATCCGAGGTCATATCCATGATACAAGCCTCAAGGAGACCCTCCACTAACAGAATCTATGACGCCACGTGGAGGAATTTCTGCCAATAGTGTATCACCCATAATCTTAGACCTTTAAAGGTTACTATTCCTAACATCTTAGAATACCTTTTAGAAGGGTTGAATAAAGGTCTTTCACATAATACTATACGGAGGCAAATTATGGCCCTGTCAACGGTCCTCACATGTGACAACCTCCATTCTCTGTCTCAACACCCGGCAGTTGCCACTTTCCTAAAGGGCACAATTAACACTAGGCCCCCCCACAGTGCACTGATATCCTTCATGGGATTTACCAAAGGTGTTACAAGCCCTCTCGATGACACGGTTCGAGCCCTTTGGGTTTTGTTCACTTTATTTCCTCTCTTTGAAGGTTGCCTTTCTGGTAGCCATCACATTGGCTAGGCATATTTCGGAACTGGCTGCTCTCTCGATCAGAAGTGATCTGTGTATGTTTCTGGATGATCGAGTGGTCCTTCGATTGGACCCTTCTTTCGTTCCAAAAGTCAATACATGGTTCCATAGGTTTCAAGACTTGGTCCTACCTAACTTTTGCCCAAATCCAACCCATCATCTGGAAAGACAATGGCATATATTGGACGTGTGCAGGGCCTTGCAACATTACGTCAAGAGGACTGCCGCCTTTTGCAAATCGGAGGCTCTGTTTGTGTCCTTCCAATCCTCTTCCTTGGGAAAGAAGGTCTCATCCTCAACCATAGGGAGGTGGATTAGGGCTTGTATCTCTCATGCGTATAGATCTCAATCCCTGCCTGTACCTAAACATATCACAGCTCATTCCACAAGCAGCACGGCACATCAGCGGCCTGGTCTACGCAAGCTTTGGTTGAAGAAATTTGTAGGGCAGCGACTTGGTCTTCCCCCTCTTCATTTATAAGGCATTACAAGCTTGATAGATTTGCTGCTGCGGAGACCTCATTTGGCAGAAGGGTATTGCAGCAGGTTGTCTCATCTCAGGAGGCACATGCCTAGACTGTCCCTCCCGGCAGGGACATGGGTGGCTTTGGTATGTCCCACCGGTGGATGCTACATCTGCATGCTGGAGAATGGGCATTGTCTTACCTGAACGCCTTTTCTCAGCATGTAGATGTAGCATCCACACCGACCCTTAACAGTCAGTCTAGGCAGGAGTGATTGCAGGAGGAGCTGTTGCATCTGATTGGCTTCGCCTCATTAAAACTGGGGAAGGACCACTCCAAGGAGGCATGGCTGAACTTTGAACTTAGTCTCTCTGAGCAGGAAGGCTGAAATAACCCACCGGTGGATGCTACATCTACATGCTGAGAAAAGGCGTTCAGGTAAGACAACGCCCATTCTCCTGTTACTTATTTAGAATTGATAGATTGATTATCATGCTGAACACTCTGTTGTTGTCCTTTGATCAGACCATGCTGGCTGGATAATTTTTTGAATTAAAGTCCACACATTTTAAAACTGATAAAGTTGAGAAACTTTATTATAAATTTGGGGGGGGGGCAGGGTTGAAGAAAAGATCTTAAGACCTTTCAACCAACATCAATCTGGGAGAAAAAGTGCTCCATAGAAGCTCCCTTGCTTTTGGGCTAATGAAAAAGAATATACTATATTTCAGTACATCGATATGTCATAAAGGGAACGAGTTAATACCTAATTTAGATGAGTCACTGATTACTAAGGCAAAGCAGATGCAAGGATATAATGCCTTTAAGTATGTTTCATGTGTTCTCTCTGAACAATTGTTTGGAGAAAAAATGAAATAAATGTGCTTCTGTCCCTCTTACATGGTTAAGTTAGAAATAGGATTTAGGTGACTCAGACTCATTTCTGATTCTTAGAACTGTGAGGAGTAAATGGTTGGGGCAGACATATGTTACATGAAAGCCTTGGAATATTATGGTCTCATGAGTCCCATGCCAGAGTTTATGATTATATTCCCTTGATAAGTCACGACTAATTGAAATGGATTTTGGCAGAAAAACGAGATCCTAAAGGAATTGTTTGCACACATAGTAAATCATTTAAATATATCTTTATTGTCCAAAGATGAGAAGGAAATTGAACATCTGCATAATAAAATTATTCTGATGAGACTATTTTACCTCAATCAGGCACTCCAGTTTTACTGTTTCATACACATTCACACACAGTTAAATTCCTAAGCTGAAATCATACCTGTATGTTTCTCATGTGCAAAACATATTTTGCCCTGTGCTAAATGCACAGGGCAAAAGGCTTGGTGACCATTTGAAGTTACAGTGTATCCTTTAAAAGCTACTTATGAACCAGTTCCAAAGTTATGATGTTTGCACCCCTCTCCGTGGTCACATGACTGCACTTGGGGCAGCCGGCCCACATGTGACCACAATTTACAATGTATGTTCTTCCAGTTTCTGGAAAAATTGGTCTGTAGCAAAAAAAAAAAAGGGGGGGGGTTGCTTAATGACCGTAGCATTTGCTTAATAGCCATGTGTTCATTTTACTACCATGCTGTTCACTTAACAACCAATGCAAAAAAAGATTGTAAAATCAGGTATGGTCATGTAATGACCCATTTTATGGCTATCAAGATCTACAATCGTAATTACTAGGCTCAATTATGGTCATAAGTCGAGGATTACCTCTATGTGTTTCCATCCCTATGAGATATATTTTATCTCTACCAGTTTAGTGTCAAAGATTGGGCTGTGATTACTCAAATAACATAACTATTCTAGTACCATAATTGGGTAATGTGGTCTAATACGATCACATTCTTGTTTTTGCCTTTCTGTTCTCTGGAGGCTAAGATGTTGCAATAAATTGGGCATTACACTGTGTTCCACTGTTTGTTGTGCATGTCTGAGATGATGCATTTTGGATCTCTGTGGTTGTGGCCAATGCTACCACAATAGTTGCTGCTGGATTCCTTACTCCACTTAAACCTGTGGTAGTGTTTGTATCAAAAAAAGTTTCCAAAGGCTAACAATAAAAAAAAAAGATTGGGAATAAGAATTATTGTCTCTTTCATCAAATACTCTTTGTAATATTATGAAGACTTTTTTTAGATGTATTCTGTCTCTTTAATGGCTATCCCTTCATGTATTATTTCAGACTGTCTCACTGTGTAATCTCTTGCATTTATACTGTAAGAAAATATTAAAAGAAAGATATAGATTTCCAATATGATTAAGAAAACTTTAAAATGACATTTGAGTTTTATATATGTGTAAAAAGGTCAGGTTTGAATAGTGCCCAGCTGTCATGCTGCTTGTGGAATGGAACAGAGCAAAATGGGTTATAGTAGTCCCACAACCACAATTGGGACCAGACTATCCATTGCTAAGGCAGTTGTTGAGTCGTGCCCAATTTTATGACCTTTTTGCCACTATTTTAAAGTGAATCACTGCATTTGTTAAGTGAAATGCAGTAGTCAAGCAAATCCACTCTCCTCCATTGACTGTGATTGTCAGAAGCTGGAAAGGTCACACATGGCCATCACATGACCCTGAGATGCTGCAACAGAGATATGATTGCCAAGCACCCAAATTTTGATCCCATAATTATGGGGATGCTGTGGTGGTTGTAAGTGTGAAGAACCGCTATAAGTCACTTTTTAAAGTGCCATTGTAATGTCACACAATCACTGAACTAATTGTTGTAAGTCAAAGACCACCTGTATTAAAATTCCTCCCCTTGCCACCCAACAATAATAATGAACAAAGTTCAAGTCTCCAAAGAGGAAGGAAGCAGACTGTAAGGATCAGTGCTGGAGGGAAAAAATCTGGTCCTGTTCTTTAACAATTGCAGGAGGACTTACTGCTGACAAATATAGAAAGCCAAACTGCTTTTGCCATTACTCCATCCTAAATATATTGAGTGTTCTCACTGCTGATCTTGCAGAGCAGACATTAGTAGTTTTTGGGATGACGACAGCTGGCAGAATTAAAATGTCTTTGGAAGCAATCATATTCTAGGTAAGCTAATGACAGAATGTGGGCCTTATCTGAAAGGCCATGCAGTGGATCTAGAGAAGATGAAGTCAAGAGTTGGGTTAGAGTGAAAGGAGTGGGTATTTTAAAAAACATAACTTTCTACAGTAAATGTGATTCTGTTTTCTTGGTCCCCAATAGATGCAGATAAAAGCATCTACATCATCCTTATCCAGATGCCCTTTCATTACAAGAGAATGCAATTAAAGTAATAGTCCTGTTAAAGAACTTTTGAAAATGACTAAATTCTTACAATATTCTTTGTACTTTATTATATATTACATTCATCTCATAAACTGTTTTGAAAAAGAGCTACTAAAGCAAGCTAGAAACTCTTTAAAGACTTTCCTGCTGTTCCTGATCATAAGATTTAGGGACAGTTTTCATAGCAGATTCAGCATCAATGCTATTTTCAGGATTACTTCCACATTAATTTTGCCTTTGATATATTTCAGTTTTCATTTCTGCATATACATACACATGCAACTATTGGATCCATTTCTAAATAAATAGCCAATGCTTTGCACTTTTTAAAGCATGCACTGTTGAAAAAGAAAGAGGAGGAGAATTTATTCTCCTTTTGGGGCATTAATGTATTTGCAATCCTGTTTCTTAAACAATTGCACTGTTTCACAATATGATTGCACAGTTGTGTCTTTCCCCATGACTGCTAGCACACATTGTTAATCTGAAAATTTTCTGTGACTTGAGAGCAAATTGTCTATGACTGTTGAGAATGGATAGCTGAGCACCCTCTGCCTGCGAATAGGTAGGATGTCAGTTTCTTATGAGGTAAACATTGCATGACCTATAAGCCAGCCAGTCAGCTCATACATTGCCTTATTAGGTAAACAGCTGGGGATTATGTCTGAGGACAGAATTGACTATAGGGCAAGCTGAACATCCTGAGAGAGAGAGAGAGAGAGAGAGAGAGAGAGAGAGAGAGAGAGAGAGAGAGAGAGAGAGAGAGAGAGAGACATACAGACCAACCCCTAAGGGATGTAGCCCAGTCAAAAGACAATCATGGTGCAGAGATTTGTTTACATTTACATTTTCATTGAACATGGAATTATACTATGTGTGCATTATAAACTAGTGAAAATATTCATCCAAAATAGCTCATAACTTCAGGAAGGAATAAAACAGCCAAATGCCCTTTTTCTCACTGTACCTTGAACTAGAAAAGCCTATATTATATGCAGTTTTCCATTACTGTGCTAGTTTTGCTAACAATATTAATGGATTTCTTTTATTCTCTTTGTTAATTTAATAATTAATAATTGTAACTTGAAAATAATAGATGTGTAGAGACTAAGTATGGAAAATAGGGCTTTTAGACTGTGATTGGTAACTAAAATCTGATGATTTAAACATCTTAAAAAACAAAGTAGGTTTAAAACAAACACAAAAATGACCTCAACAGTGCAGGATTGCATAAGTACAATGGTCCAAGACCAGGCAAAAATAGTACAAAACTATCAGTGTGATGGCAATATGAGTGATTTGTCTAAGTGAAGAGGATACCCAGGGTTTAAATTACTATAAACATGAATTGTTTTATTCATGCTGTTTGCAAGAGTCTGACCAATGGCTCATACTGTTACAATGACACTGATATGCAATAGGATTCTTAAGATAGAGCTTCCTCTCCATACAAGGCAGAATTATTCAAAATTGCTCTTGAATAGTATAAATAATCACAATCTGGCTTATATTTCTTCCCACAGATATAAGTACTATCTAATGACATTTGTAGGCTCTTTAACATGTTGCCTTCTGCCAGCTCTTTATAGCTTACTCATGTGTGAAGTGGTTTAACGGTATCTTTCCAGGATTTCCAGCAAGAATTTTTTCCAATTCCTCTAAGCAAATGCCAGAATGGAGCTTTTTGCACAAAACACACGTCCTGTAACTAAATAATGGCCCCTACTTTTACCTTCTCTCCAAAGAAACCTGTTCCTAAAAATTTCCTGGGGTCAGGAAATTCCTGTCACAGCAAATGAAAGTTATTAAGCTCTCAACCAGTACAAAGATTGCTATATTTCTACATTATTATAACGAGATGAATGTAGAATTGTCTTTAGATGGAAGTTTAGGATAAAAATGCATTAGCTTTGATTCTTCACTCAATATTAAAAGAAACAGTTTTCTTCTTTTTCAAAACAAAAATCAATTTATTGTTTCAATAAAAAAAATATCCATATGCATAGTGGTTTGTCAAATGAATAATTCCTCAGACCCAATGAATAATACATTAATATCATATTGCTTTTTGATACTGAATACAGAATTAACTGGATTCAGGGTATGATATACACTGAATTCTCAACATTACACTTTGTATAGGCCCAAATCCTCTGCCGAGTCAGATGTCATTCACATGTTTCTATATGTGTGAACATATGCGCACACATGTATTTTGTTCTCAAAAACAATTTCAAGACTGTAAATAATTTGATAGCTGGTAAGATTTCTCCTTCTTCCGTGTCTAGATCAAACTCTAAACTGCCAGAATGAAGCCACCTTCCTGGCTTTGTCTTTGACAAAAATAAGTCATTAAAAAAATTCATAGCTGGTAAGATGAAACTTCAATATGGATTACAAAGCTTTTAAAATTTGTGTCTAAAATGTTCCTTTGGTAGAGAAAACTGGGATATTTAACCTTGAAATGTTAGCGAAAGAAATGAATGTACAAGTCATTTGTCCTGTTTAGTTTAGTTTTCAATTATGTTTATGTTTTTTGTTTCCTTAATGGTTCTTTTGGGGCAGGGGCAATACCTTGTAGCCTGTTCGAAGTAGTAGCTGAAATTGATTCAGCACAGCCAAATATGGTTTAGAGCAGAGGTCTAAACCAGAATTCCCCAAAGAGCAAGTTAGGAAATTCCTGGTTTAAAGTAATACCAAATTCTAGCTGTAAATGGTTTTGCCCAAAGTTTCAACATTCTCTAAGGCAGTCTTGAATTATTGCCTAGCAATAGATCTGAGTGAAGGGAAATAAAATGCATTAAACATGTTTCCCACTGGAGAAATGATCTCATGTCAGGAAACTTTATATCAGAATAAAACTTACATAAATAATGTCCAGTAGGAAAACATCATCTTTTGAGGAGTGAAGCAAAAAAATTCTCCATTATACATTTACACACTTAAATATGTGTTATATTTTAAATGAATTCCTCCCTTTTCCACATTTGATTGAATGCTTTAGTTGTAGTATGACCCACCACAGTTATCACTTGGGATTGCAGCTGGAAAATACCCAACATTTGCTGATTGCCAGCCAGCCCATACAAAATGAGTAGAGCTTGTTTGTCAGATGCATGTGAATCTAATTTGGGAAAAGGAAAACTATGAAAAGCTGTTGCATCTTGCGAATATGTATTGTGAGCTGCTAGAAAGCATGTAACTGGACATGTTAATTATTATGGTGGGCTAGATGGCTGTTTTGTTCATGTTTATGTACTTAATGGGCAACTGCAGCAATGTAAGCTTATGGATCAGAACAACTCATGAGCCAAGGTGGCACAGCAGTTAGAGTGCAGTACTGCAGGCCAGTAGCTGACTGTGTTCAGCAGGTCAAATCTCACCTGCTCAAGGTTGACTCAGCCTTCCATCCTTCCGAGGTAGGTAAAATGAGGACCCAGATTATTGGGGGGAATGTAAGTATATATATACATTGCTTACTGGTGTACACCGCTTAGAGAGTGCTTGCACTTAAAGCGGTATATAAGTCTCATAAATAAATAAATAAATAACTGAACTGCAGATCAGTTATTACTATCTCTAGTAAACTTACCTGTTGGAGACAATTCAGCAGCCAAGGACCAGTCCTCTACAAATAAGTTTCATGGAAAAAATCTTGCTTTGAATTTTTCTAAGGAATAATGGCCAAGAAACAAAAGGGGAAAGGTCACCACCACACTCCAACTCTCAATTTAAAGTGAAATCTTCTAGGGTGAAGAAAGGAATATATCCAACATAGATTTCTAGGTGCGATGACCATAGTTTGAGCTTGTGTTTCTCAAATCTAGTCTTACTCAGTTGCCTTCTTAGCTCTTTGGATGCCTAATTGTCATCTTAAATTATGGATATGTTTATACTTTTCTCTTTTGAAGCATTCATCTTTTCCTTCAGTGTAATACAGATGGATCTCAACTTACAACAGTTCATTTAGTGACAATTCAAAGTTTCAGTGGCACTTAAAAATGTGACTTATAAACATTTTTCACACTTATGACTGTTGCAGCATCCCCATAGTCATGTGATTTACATTCGGATGTTTGATAACTGTTTCATATTTATGATGGTTGCAGGATCCCCAGGTCATACAACAAGCCTTCTGACAAGCAAAGTCAATGGGGAAGCCAAATTTACTTAACAACCATGTTACCAACTGAACAACTGCAATGATTCACTTAACAAATGTGGCAGAAAAGTTGTAAAATGAGACAAAACTCAGTTAACAAATGTTTCACTTACAAACAAATTTTGGGCTCATTTGTGGTTGTAAGTTGAGGACTACTTATACTCATGAAAGCCCTACTTTGTAGTTTATTTTAGGGAGTGCCATTTTATGTGTTGGGGTTTGTAATCTGGCAAATGCTTCTCTAAAATGACTAGGAGGCACTAATTTAAGTGTTCCTAGGAAAAGGAAATATATGTTTTTTCTTTGGAACCTGGTCCCTTAATTCCAGTAGAGGAGAGAAGGAAATAGCTGACAGTAAAGAGCAGCTGAAGGCAATGACTACTACATCAGATCAGACTCTCTTAGTAGGATGGAGCAAGCCACTAGCTGAAATACCTGTTTCATTATGCCTCAATCTAAAATGAACTCAGTATAGATTAATTCTTACATGCTACTCAACTTGAAGTATGCAACTCAAGCTTTACTGATGTCAAGTAGATGAGTCTCAAGTTTATTTATGAGACTTATATACCACTTTAAGTGCAAGCACTCTCTAAACGGTGTACACCAGTAAGCAATATATATATATATATATATATATATATATATATATATATATATATATATATATATATATATATATATATATATATTACATTGCCCCCAACAATCTGGGTCCTCATTTTACCTACCTCGGAAGGATGGAAGGCTGAGTCAACCTTGAGCCGGTGAGATTTGAACCGCTGACCTGATGAACACAGTCAACTAAAGTGGCCTGCAGTACTGCACTCTAACTGCTGCGCCACCTCGGCTCATAAGCTCATCTTCAGATGCTAAGTGCATCTTTACTTTGATTTAGACATTTTTGAAAATCTCTGCATTAAGTGCACTAAGAAGGAAGTTCACTTTCTTTCTGTCCCACAATAATTTTGTGTTCTTGACTCAAACAATATACAAGTTTAATGTATATGATGATTGGTCATACAGATCTTCCACAACTGGATTTGGTATTTTTCACCACCTATTGAATCCTTCTTAAGCACCTAACTATTATTTTATTTATTTATTTATTTTTATTTTTAAAATTTATAAACCGCCCCACTCCCGTAGGACTCTGGGCGGCTAACAATAAAAACAACATAAAACATGACAAACAAAACAGTACAATTACAGTCATCCAGGGGTCAGGTTTTATAAACCCCAGGCCTGCCAGAAAAGCCAGGTCTTAAGCAGCTTACGGAAAACCAACAGGGTGAGAGCGGTCCTAATCTCCGGGGGGAGCTGGTTCCAAGACGTGGGTGCCATCAGAGAGAAAGCCCTCCTCCACGGCCCCGCCAAATGGCACTGCTTGGCCGATGGGACCTGAAGGAGGCCCAGCTTGTGGGATTTAACCGGCCGAAGGGAACTATGAGGTAGTAGGCGGTCTCACAAATAGCCTGGCCCTGAGCCATATAGGGCTTTAAAGGTAATAACCAACACCTTGAATTGGAC